AGAAGAGACCATCACCACAGTGGTGAAGAGTCCCCGTGGCCGACGACAGTCCCCCAGCAAGTCTCCCTCCCGTTCACCCTCCCGCCGCTCTGCCAGTCCACTGACACCTGGGCTGTTGGCTCCTGAGATGCTGTACCCATCAGGGACCAGCCCATCCCGGAGGCTGGAGGTAGAAGCAAGCAGGAAGGCCCCAGTGCCCACATTATATGTGACGGAAGCTGAAGCCCTCGCTCCAGCCTCGCAGCCCAAGCCCAAGTGGTTAGAGGTTGAAGAAACCATTGAAGTCCGGGTGAAGAAGACAGGGTCACGAGGTGCATCTCCTGTCCGAGAGATGCCCAGCAGTCGAGAGGAGATTCTCTTCACACTGCCTAGTGGGACCACGGATAGGGACCCAAATGCCAACAACTCCAACAACAAGAGTGTGTTCCAGGAAGCCCGGACCTGCAGTCCCGCTATAGTCCATGTTGGGGAACCCCTCGTCTTCCATGTGGACTCAATGGGCAATGTGAACTGGGCATCTGCTAGCCCTGAGCCAAAGGAAGTCAGAGCCTCCAAGGAGGGTGAGAACATTGCAAAGGAGGAAGGAGACAGTGACAGAGAAGAGAATATCTCCATAGTAGAAGAGCCCCAGGACATGGGCAGCCTTCAGGGCCGTGACCCCAAAATCCTCACACACAATGGCCGGGTGCTAACATTGGCTGACCTGGAAGATTACGTGCCCCAGGAAGGAGAGACCTTTGGCTGTGGGAGCCCTACCTCCAGCACCCCTGATGAACCTCCCTGTGAAGTCTCTGTGCTCCAGAGGGAGATCAGAGAGCCCACTGTGGGGCAACCTGTCCTGCTCAATGTGGGGCGTCCTCCAGGCCCCAGTTCCATGCCTAGCTTCTTCAGGTCAGGGCCCCAGGTCCACAGCCCCGAGGGTGTCTCCTTCCTCTTGCATGAGGCCTGGACAGGGCCAGTGAGTGCCACCCCTTGGACAAGCTCCTTCCATGCCCATGTCCAGAGTTCTGTAGATAGAGGCCAGAATAGCTTCAAGACAGAGGTCTCTACCCAGACAGTCAGCTTTGGGGCCGTAGGAGAGACGGTCACTCTGCACATTAACCCAGATGGAGGAGAGGTCCCAGACGCCTCCCAGGGTTGATGCCACACCCTGGGGTCACAACGTGGGGACAACAAGGTAAGGCGAGTGGCCCAGAGCCTTGGGCCCTGCCAGGTTCCAGCATCTACCCTGGAACCCACAGCTTACCTCGGGGACCTCCCACTCCCATCTTCTCCAGCCTGGGATGGAGTCGTCCTTGCTTTCCTGCCTGGTCCTTCCTACCTCACTGGACTTGCTCTGCCCGGAAGATGGGGAAGTACCTGCAGTGTTGGAATATGCTGGTGTCCCTTCAGAAGAGCTCTGGCCAGGAGCAGTTGAGAGACCCCAGCTTTGGACTGAACCCCTCAGGCCTTCTGTGGGGCTTTGAAAACAAAATATTGACTTGGGTGTTTGTCCTGAGACATATCCCCATCAAGGGTCTTCCCTAGGGCTGCACCCAAGGCATGTGTTGACTTGCTATCAGCTCTGTGGGGCTTCAGGGTCACTTCTGTGGTGGACACGGGCTGTAGGGTGGGGGAAATCCCAGGCCATTGCCCTGATAAGAATAAAACAAGTCCAAGACCCTCCTCTCTGCTTCTTCATGCTTGTTCACCTAGAAGTTTAGGGTCCCCTCCTCTTGCAGCCACCTGTTAGACCTACTCTCATTTTTTTCAAGGTCACATCTCAGGTCATATGGGATGCCTAGGGTGGTTGGCTATCTGTGTACCCTGATGAAGGGCATGCAGGTCCCAGTTTGCCTTGTGGTCCATGGGTAGAGTAGGCTCGGGAATGAATCTTTACTCAACAGTCTATGGGGGCTGGCCCTTGAAACTTACAGTGTGACCAGGACAGCCATCATGGTCACTTTCGGCCTGTTGGAATCTGAGCAGGCCTCCCTAAGCCATGGATCATTACGGTCATTGTAGGACAAATGGGGAGTCATGACTGAGATTGGGAGATCCGTGTGTCCTAAACTCTCAGCATATAGGGGTGAATTCCATTGTCTTCAGAGATGGACCTACGAACCTCCCACTTGTCTGTGAAGGCCAAAAGACCTCTAGTCCAAGGCCTGTTCTAAGGGTGCTGCTGGCATCTAGGTGTTGGAAAGACGGTCTGTGTGCCTATCTAGCCTGGGTCTGGGGGTGTCGGATATGCCTCATTAGCAAGCACTGAGGGGGATCTGGATGGGGAGAAGATTCTGGGCAGGGAACTTGCTGGCAAAGGAGTGGTCAGCAGTCCTGGGGCATGTGTGTGGGACCCCACGTGGATAAGCAGGTCTGAAAGGTACAGGGGAGAGAACATTAGCCACACCCAGGAGAGGACAAGAGGAGTAGTGGGGTTGCTGACTAGGCACTGGGTAAGGACATGGGCCTGGGCTGAGCTTGGACAACTTAGGTGGGGGAGGTACAGAAACTGCCAGCCACATGGGGTGAGGCCTGAGTGCCCTGGGGGGTGAGATCCAGGTATTCCCTTAGCCCTTGATGTGTGCCGGTCTGTCTGAGGTTCAGAGTCTAGAGCTAGCCTTGAGGGGAGCCAGGCCTGGGTGGAAGGCGTGGGACTGCAGGCACACTGAGGGTGGGGGCTTTCTGGAGATGGACTTCCCCCTTAACTTCCTGGAGGGTGGGGGCCACATGGGGTACACATGGCTCTGGAGGAGATGGACTTTCCCCTTAGCTTCCAGGAGGGTGGCCCCGGTGCACATGGCTCTGGAGGAGGCCACAGTGGCCCTGTCCCTGGACTCAGAGCTCCTCACTGCGCCTTATCCTCCTGGGCCTCCCCATCCAGCAGACAGCAGGACAGGCGGGAGAAGGCAGTCTCCGAGAACTGGGGTGGCACTCAGAGCCTGTGCCCGGGATTTCAATCCCCAGGCCAGACTTACCTTGTGTTCCCATCCTCCTGCCCACAGACACCTCCATGGAGGCCTCTGTCCACCCCACCCAGGACGAAACTGACCAAGAAGCCACTTCTGTCCTTTGGAGACTGCTAAGCTCAGAAGCCCTGAGCCCCTCCCCAGGGGATTCCTCCCACGCGAGACAAAGTGAGCCACCTGCACTCAAAGAGGCTGCTCCTCAGATCCCAGGCACAACAGCCCCGGGTGTACCTGGTGAGGTCCAGCAGGGAGCTGACTCTGAAGACTTCTCCTCTCGCCACCCCATCCTTGGCCATGTGACCCTTGAATGCCCACTCCATGGTTATAAACTTTGAGAGCCCTGGGGCACCTTAGCATCTTGATGGCCTCATATGACCCTTGAATGCCTACTCCATGGTTATAAACTTTCAGAGCCCTGGGGCACCTTAGCATCTTGATGGCCTCATGTGCTATCATGTACAAAGCCAAACCTTAACTTGACTTCACGTTTCCTATCTGTGAACTGGATCCACCCAGTTCACCTATATATGTACCAGGACCCAGAGGTACCCACTCCTACCTGGAGTCTTGGTTTCCCCAGATGTGCCATCTGTCCACTCAGTTTGTCCCAAGCTCTTCTCTTCTCACTAGTCAGTGTGGTGTGTCTTACCTTGTTGATGAGCAGAGCATCCTCGGGGGGCCCCACACTGCCACCTGTGTCCTGCTCTCGTGTCACTGTAACCTCGGCCTGGAGGGCAGAACTGCATCCCAGTGCCAGCCTGGTTGGTGGGCTAGGATATCAGGCTTCTACCCCGGTGGGAAACTGGAGGACCCTGACAGCCAGCATACATTTCTAGGTTGTGGGGGCCTGGTTCTGGCCCTGGAACTGCTCTTGACTTTGCAATCCACCCCCTACTGGCCTTATGGGGGACCCACGCTTGTTAAAGAATGTCCTTCTGGCCCCGCCTAGATTCAACTCACCAGGCTTCCTATCTTCCAGCAGCTGAGCCCCCAGAGGTCTCACAGCCTGACACACACAAAGGCCTGGAGCAGGAGACGGAGGCTTCTGGGTCCCAGGGACGGACTGTACCTATTCGGTAAGCTCCTGAGCAGATGGGCCGTGTGAGGAGCTGCCCTCTGAGGGGCATCCCGGGTTGGCAGTGCCGGGTCCACCTGCCTGTCTTCATGGCCTTCAAGAGCTAGCAGGGTGGACTTGATGCTCCCCAACACGCTTCTTACAGGCACCAGGCCAAGCGGGTGGGTAGGGAGGGAAGAGGGATCCGCCCTAGAGCATAAGGTCTTGGGTAGAAGCCTGTTCATACATCTAACCCCACAAATAGGGACATTAGGGTCACCATCTCATCCTAAGGTTCAGCCACCTGAGAGGTACAGAGTCAGGGTGCCTCACTGAGTGGAGACCACCCTTGCCTTGACTCTAGGGTGGAGGGAACAGCCTGGCCGGGTACAGGCCCGGGGCAGCTGCTCTTGGATGTGCACAGCCAAGTCATCGTGGAAACCACACAGAGGACCTATGTGTACCAAGCTCCTGACACAAACGTTGCAAGTATGGAAGCGGGCCAACCACATGGGGGTGTGCCCATGCCGGGTGCTAGGGGCATTTTTATGAGGGCCTCATTAAGTCACATGCTATGCCTCAGCCCACGTTCCCCGCCTCTTCTTTTGGTGTCCCCTTTGGAGGGCACAGAAATAGTTGTCTCCATCCCTTTCCTCTGGGAAGAACCCAATAGCAGCAAATGTGGTACCTGTGGTTTCTATACTTGACAGAGCCTTCTAGCATTCTTCATGCTTTGGCTTGACTGTCCATGTGATTGCTTGGCCAGCTGAATTAACTAAAGCCGGGAAACAGAGGCTGGAGTGAAGAAAGCACTTTGCAACTACCAGATGCCTAGGCAGTGAGGTTGGGTCACTGTCACCAGGGAAGGAGGTGGGCTTTTTGGCCCAACGGACATAAATCAAGGCTTCACTGACCACAGATACAGGTGGTAGACTGTGCACTTAGGCCTATGAAGACTGAGGATACCTACACACAGGTTCTCTTCCCATCTCTCCCAGGAGCCCCATCCATGCAGGTCACTATTGAGGATGTACAAGTACAAGTAGGTGGCATGGCACAGTTTGATGCTGTCATTGAAGGCAACCCACCACCCACAGTGACCTGGTACAAGGTAGGAGCAGGTCCGGGCAGCAGGGGGAGGAGACAGGTTTTAGGAGCTAGAAGGCATGGGTGCAGGTATACATGAGACCATGTGGGAGTGTGGGGCTCATGCACCCCACTATGCAATCTGCAAGTCCCCATTCCATGGCCTCACCCTGCAGCCCTATCCTGTACCTTCCCACCCCACTTCTGACCTGCACTTGGGGCTGGACATGGTCCAGGTGCAAGTGTCTCCCAGGATAAGCTGGTGGTAGCCCAGCCTGCCTCTTGTGTGTCCAGGACAGCACCCAGCTGATGAACAGTGACAGGCTGAGCCAGCGACAGGATGGCACTACATATTCCTTGGTGTTGACTGACGTGGCTTTACGTGATGCTGGAGTCTACACATGCCTTGCCCATAATGCAGGTGGACAAGTGCTCTGCAAGGCAGAGCTGCTGGTCCATGGGGGTGAGTTGGCTGGCTCCTCCCAGGTCCTGGCCAGGGTACGGGGAGGAAGGTGCAGTCCCTGTCATTGCATGGGAGAGCAGTGGGGTCAAGGCTGTCATAGCTGCCTACTATACATATCCTGTGCTTTGACTGTAGGGGACAAACCAGACTCAGAAAATCAAGTATATCGGAGAAAACTGCATTCCTTCTATGAAGTCCAAGAAGAGATCGGGAGGTACGGCTTCCTCATCTTCCCTGTGGTCTTCAGTCCTCCCCAAGGACTCCACCTCCACCCTCAGCATGGCACCTACCATAGTTCCCTCTCTCCTTCTTCACCCCCAGGGGTGTGTTCAGTTTTGTGAAAAGAGTTCAGCACAAAGGAAATAAAATGTTCTGTGCTGCCAAGTTCATCCCCCTGCGAAGCAAAACTCGAGCCCAGGCATACCAGGAACGAGACATCCTGGCTACACTCAGCCACCCGCTGGTAACTGGACTCCTGGACCAATTTGAGACCCGGAAGACGCTCATCCTTATCTTGGAACTGTATCCTGCGTCTGGATCCTGGGAGAATTTAAGAGACGTTAGGTCCCAGGCTAAAGTTGGAGTTACCGAGTGTGGGGCCCATGGACCTGAGTGTTATAGTGACAACTACTAGCCCTGAATCCCAGCATTCCTACTCCTGGTGCTGTGACTGTGTGTCAACAGTTTCTGATTCTACAATTCACAGTGGTGTGATTTGGGTAGAGGGCCACCACAGTAGTGGTGATTCTCAGCAAGGATGGTCTGGGGTCCCTCTCACAGATGACCTCTTGGATATTGGAGATGTTTCCCACCCCAGGTCCTCTAGGTCTCTGTCACATGCATGGGGCCTTGTTTGAGGGTCTTCTACCCTGCATGGCTGCGCCTTAGGATGCTGGGAAAGGGATGCTTGGTGTGAACTCTGTGCAGAGATGAAAGTGCTGCAGTTCCAATATGCTATTGCCCAACAGCCTGTCCCCAGGCTCTCTCAGGGTAGCCGCCTAGGACCCTAGGGGTCTCCATTCCACCCTCCTTCACCTGAGTGCCAGCACCCCAGATCTGCATTACAAGGGCCTCAGGTCCTGGACACCTCTCTGTGAGCACAGGTGCCCAGGAGTCAGGTGGGTTCCCACCAGGTACAGCTTTTCCTTGACCAAGCCCAGGTGCTCATCTGAGGAGCTGCTGGATCGCCTCTTCAAGAAGGGTGTAGTGACTGAAGCTGAGGTAATTTTTATTCTCTCTTTGCCTGAGTAGGGCCTCAGTCCCCAGACACAGTCTCTTGACCTAAGCCCCTTGTAGCTTCCAGGGTACCCAGGCATATCCAGCCCTCTTCTACCCCTCCTGACCATAACTGTCCAGGTGTGCCAGTGATGCCTGCTTCTCCCTGATTTGACCAGGGTGCTGATTTCTGCTCATTCAGGCTCAGCCCACCTTTGGGGATGCCCCCAGCCCTGGGGTTCACAGATTCCTGAAGACCTTGCCAGTCACGTGTCCTGTGGGGCCTGAATTAAGAGGAAGAAGTTTGACTATGGGAACAAGCTGGAATGGAATAGAGGAGGAGGCTCTAGGTACCTGAGTCAGCCTCCTGGGGACTGGTCCCCAACTGAACCAGGTTTATTTTACCACAGGTCAAGGTCTATATCCAGCAGCTAGTGGAAGGCCTGCACTATTTGCACAGCCACAGTGTCCTCCACCTGGACATAAAGGTACTGACCCCATGGTACCTCCAGAACTCAGGGTGGGGACAGACGGGAGCCTGTGTGTGCTTGAATTCCACTAAGCATAGAGGACTTCCAAGCCCTCAGGTAGAGTTTGGATCTTAAGAAGTAGATGTGATGTCCAGTCTGACCCAGGGACCCACTGCCCCTTACTAGCCCCCAGGACTCTTCAGTGCTCCCTGGGAAAGCTAGGAGTCACCTCTCTCATGACATGTAACCCCCAGCAGCTTCCCAACTCTTCCTGACAGCCCCCCAATATCCTGATGGTGCACCCAGCTCGGGAAGACATTAAGATCTGTGACTTTGGCTTTGCCCAAAAAATCACCCCTTCAGAGCCACAGTACAGCAAGTACGGCTCGCCCGAGTTTGTGTCTCCAGAGATCATTGAGCAGAGTCCTGTGAGCGAGGGCTCAGACATCTGGTGAGTGGATGGACCACCAGGAGGGCTGTGGTTCTGGAGCCCCATCCTCTGTCTGTCTGCCTGGCAGCTGAGAGTCCTCTGAGCCCCTGCTTCCTCTTCCAGCCCCAGACTTCTCCAACCCTCACATGCACAGCCCTTGCCTGTGGACCAGGCCTGGTTTGACTCACAGTATGTGATACTTTCATTCTTGCAGGGCCATGGGCGTCATCTCCTACCTCAGGTAAGCAGACTCTGTCCTGTCACCCCTCCATGTAGGCCACATACACTGCTGGTCACTCCCTAGATCAGCCCGAGACATGGCAGGCAGCTATTTTGAGACCAGGCTGTGGGCCAACCTTGATAAAATGCTTTCTTTAACACGTCTCACTAACACCCACTTGTCACGAGGCAGAGCTTAGCCACTTCCCTGCAGGTCTGAGGGCTTGGCCAGGGGCAGTCACGGTGGCCATTGCTGCCCTGAAGGTGCTAGTGGTATATCCTGAGTTGGGACCTCCTCTGCAGGCTGAACCCTATTTCTACCTTGGCAAATGCTGGTTCCTGCCCTAAGCCAACCTCAAATCCCATCCCATTCTGAACCTGACGCTCTGCCTCAGATTAAGGCTAGGTGTCATCTCAAACTGACCTTGATACCTGTATCAGCTTGAACCCAAATCCCTACCTCCCATTAAGGCTATATCCATATTCCAAGCTGGTATCTTGTATTGTTTAGTCCCCATGTCAGGATAAGAGCAAATGACCACAGATGAGCATTTATGTCTACTCAGGTTAGAGCCAAGATACCACTTCAGGCTTATCTCATATCCTCTCTTCAAGCAGGGCCTCGGTGTCTTCTATAGGACAAGTCCTGACCCCCAACCTCAGGTTAAGGCTGAATACTTTTGTGGGCTGATTCTTCCTTTATCCCTTTCTCTGCCTGAGCCTGGATGTACATCCTAGTCTGAGCCCCGATTGCCACTCCAGACTTTGCCTGGATCCCTGTTCCAAGCTAATCCTGGATCGCTGTGGTGCAGCCTGAGACCTTTGTTAGAGTCCTCAGGTCTAGATGAGTGTAGCACACATCTAGTCAGGAATCTTCTCTGAGAGTCAGCCTCCCCACTGCCCTGCTTTCAGCCTAACCTGCTCATCCCCCTTTGCTGGAGAGAGTGACCGTGCCACACTGCTGAATGTTTTGGAGGGCCGGGTATCTTGGAGCAGTCCCATGGCTGCCCATCTGAGTGAGGATGCCAAGGACTTTATCAAGGCCACACTGCAGAAGACCCCCAGGTGAGTGGATGCCTGTCTTTCACCTGCCCGAGCTCCAGTCACCCTGTCATAGATCCACTGGACTGAGGGGCCCACTTGCTTTTCTTCTTACCCCAGGGCCCGGCCTAGTACTTCCCAGTGCCTTGCCCACCCCTGGTTCCTGGTAAGTAGGCCCAGCTTGGGCTAAACTCACTGCTCTTCAGAGAGGGAAACAATGGCCAAGACGTCTCATCAGTACGGATTGTTCTGGCCTGCTGTCCCCAGTTCTGAGGACATCAGTCCCTTCATATTGGCCAGGGGGTCCTGGAGCCCTCAACAAAGAATTGCTAGGCAGTTGGCAACAAAGGGTTCCTTCTGCCTGCATGGGCATCTGGCTAAGGGACCTGCCTTCAGAGTGTCTGAGAGGAGGAGCCCCTGCAGTGGGGGGCCAGTCTGCTGCCTCTGCCCTTTGGGCCTGCATCCCCATAGCACCCAACCCTGGCACCAGGGTCTCTTGCCATCACCACCCTCCTCTCCCATTACAGAAATCCATGCCTGCTGAGGAGGCTCACTTCATCAACACCAAGCAGCTCAAGTTCCTTCTTGCTCGAAGTCGCTGGCAGGTGAGTCCCTGTTTCCCAGGGAAGAGGTACTGAGGGCAGGGAAGGGAATCTAAGTGTCCCACTTAGGCCGGCCAGGAGCACATGGGATAAACTGCCCTGTTCCATGCTTCTAGGTCCCCTTGAGTGCACCAGTTAGAGCACCAGGTGCAAAGACCCAGATATCCTGGGGAACCTTCCTGGGCCCCCTGGGAGCACCCTCTGCCATGACTAGCCATGCCCAATGGATTCCCCTCTGTTCTCACTTCCAGCGCTCCTTGATGAGCTACAAGTCTATCCTGGTGATGCGCTCCATCCCTGAGCTGCTCCAGGGCCCTCCAGACAGTCCCTCCCTAGGAGTGGCCCGGCACCTACGAGGGGAAGCCAGTGCGTCCTCTAGCTCATCATCTTCCTCGGACAATGAGCTTGCCCCATTTGCCAGGGCTAAGTCACTGCCACCTTCCCCTGTGACTCACTCCCCGCTGTTGCATCCTCGGGGCTTTCTGCGGCCTTCAGCCAGTCTCCCAGAAGAGACAGAGGTCAGCGTGCCCACTGCTGGTGCAGCCCTGCCAGCATCCCCCCAGGATGCTGGGCCTCCAGCAAGTCCAGGTTGTGTGCCCCGGCACAGTGTCATCAGCAGCTTGTTCTACCAGCAAGCTGGTGAGGGTTCAGAGCGCGGGAGCAGACCCTCGGGTGCCAAGAGGCACCCAGCTCGGAGGCGGCACCTGCTAAAGGGCGGGTACATTGCAAGGGCCCTACCAGGTCTTCGAGAACCACTGATGGAGCACAGTGTGTTGGAGGAGGAAGCTGCTAGGGAGGAGCAGGCCGCTCTGATGTCCAAGACACTGTCCTTTGAGACTGCCCTGAGACTACCTAGCTCCAGTGCCCGGGAGGTCCCAGGCCGAAGCCGCTCCCTGGACCACAACCCACCAGACACCACTGGCCCCTCTCCTGAGGAATGCAAGGGACAGTACCTATTCCCATCCTCCCCAGAGGTGACTCATGAAACCACTGCCAAAGATATGGGGCACTCAAAGGGGTTCTTAGAGGAGTCTGCCCCCTGTTCATCTACGAGTGGTGACTCGAGGCCTGCTAAGCATGAGGGATCATCCCAGGACAGCTGTAGAGAGAAAGTATCCCCTTCCTGTCACTCTGACCTTGGTCCTGGCTCCCAGGAGGGCTGTGGCTCCCCATCATCGCTTGGCTCTTTACCCCCCCAGTCACTGAAGAAGGACCCCTCCTCACCCTGTAGCCCCTTCCTCTCGGGACAGCCTCAGGCAGCCCCATTCCCTACCCAAGCAAGCCCCCTTCCTGGTTCTAAGAAGGAGCCTCAGGATAGCGCTCTACATGGAAGGCCCTGCCCCGGTCCCTCCAGTTCCCTCGGGCCAGCCTCCCAAGTAGGTGCCTCCCCGGATACTGAAGGCTTGTCTGAAGCCGGAGACACATTTGACCTCACACCTCCTCTGCTGCGCCCTCAGGAGCAGGCCACCACCCGGAAGTTCTCTCTGGAATCCCGTGGGGGCTATGCAGGGGTTGCAGGCTATGGTACCTTCGCCTTTGGCGGGGATGCAGGGGGCATGCTAGGGCAGGGTCCTCTTTGGGCCAGGATGGCCTGGGCTGTGTCCCAGTCCTCAGAAGAACAGGATGAACCTGGGACTGAGAGCTCTCAACCTCTAGACAGCTCAGGGCCCACTGCTGAGGCCAGTGGGGCTCCCCTACGGACCTCTCCGAGCTTATCCCCGTGGAAGGAAGCCGAGCAGGTTTCCCTGGTACAGATCCGGGATCTGTCTGGTGACGCAGAAGCAGCTGACACAATCTCCTTGGACATTTCTGAGGTAGATCCTGCCTACCTCAACCTCTCTGACCTATACGACATCAAATATCTCCCCTTTGAGTTCATGATCTTCAGGAGGGTCCCCAAACCTGTAGAGTCGCCAGAGTCACCTGACTTTGAAACTGAGGCCGGGCAAGGGCTGGCAGAGTTCCTGGAGGAGACTGTGTGGCCCTGGCCGGGAAAGCTGGGCCTGCGTGCTGGCTTGGAAATTACAGAGGAGTCGGAGGAGCCAGGGGACCTGGACACACTGCTGGGAGAGGCTGCTACTGGCAGGAAGCGCAAGTGGTCCCCCTCCCGTGGCCTCTTCCCATTCTCCGGAAGGTGCCTGTCAGGGGAGGAGCCTGTGGAGCTTGGGCTGCGCCAGAGGGTGAAGGCTTCCATGGCTCATATCTCCAGGATCCTGAAGGGCAAGCCAGAAGGTGACCTCCCCCAACATCTGGCATGTCCACGTGCCCCTTGTTCTGCACCCATGGGGCTACCTCGTCCTCTTGTGCCCTCTCAAGTCCCACTGGCCTCCTCTCCCTGGACTATGCTACCCACACCATCTGGTCTGACCCCACAGATCTTGGCTCACATCGTAGGCTCTCCTCTGCAGCCCTGACACCCCTCTTTATTGGGCGTCTGAGACCATCCCTGACACATAACAGCTGCAGGGGTCTGGAGCCAGCAGCAGGGTCATACCTTTGGGGAGAGAGATCCATGGGTCAGTTCACCAGATCTCTGGCCCAGTAGCTGCTCCAAACTCAGACCCTCTGACATGGTCCTCAGTGACCCCGTTCCCCTTCATCTTCTGAGCCCCCATGGCCTCTGACTTTCCTAATCCCTAGGCTCAGCTCCCAGCCACCCCTCAGGCATCTATGTCCTGTGCTCAGGCCTGTGTCCTGACAGCCTGTTGCTGAGGGAGGTTAGGGGTGGCTCAGCAAGCTTGGTTCTGGTTTTCTGCATGCTCCCTAAGATCCTGTTCCTTCCCCTGGCAGATTTCCTAGGGTGAGGAAGCTGCTGCTGTCCTTCCCCTGAACTCCAGGGCCCTCTTTCCCCTACAGGTCCTGAGAAGGAGGAGCCCCCCAGGAAGAAGGCAGGCCTAGCTTCTTTCAGGCTGTCAGGCCTGAAGGGCAGGGACCAAGGTAAGCAGGGACCACAACAGTGGGGGTCCAGGGCGGGGCTCTGGTATAGAGGTCTAATCAGTTTTGGAAGGCTTCTTCTGTTGAAGCTGAGGGTAGAGCTGAGCAGGGTCTAGCCTGGGCTCTCTGGTCAGGAAGTCTCCTCTCAAAACTCATCTTATGCCCCCTGTCAGCGCCGTCCTTCCTAAGGGAGCTCTCAGATGAGACTGTGGTCCTGGGCCAGTCAGTGACACTGGCCTGCCAGGTGTTGGCCCAGCCAACTGCCCAGGCTACCTGGAGCAAAGGTAAGGAGCTGTCCCAGACTCTGGGTGCTGGATTGGTGCTGCCGAGTAGCAACCACAGCCCCCAGCTGTCCTGGGGAAACCCAAGACCGTCTTTGTCTTGTCATAGATGGAGACCTTCTGGAGAGCAGCGGCCACCTCCTCATCTCTTCTACCCTGAAGAACTTCCAGCTGTTGACCATCCTGGTGGTGAGAGAGGAGGACCTGGGCACATACACCTGCTGTGTGAGCAATCCACTGGGGACAGCAGCCACTACAGGTGTCCTTCGGAAAGCAGGTGTGTTGGCCACACCGGAAGCCTCTGCCAGGCCACAGAGGCTGGGCTGGGAGTTCCACACGGTCTTATCTTGATTAGTGAGCAGGACCATGCAAGGGTCCATGGAACTCGAGAAAAGTCAGAGGCGGATAAAGCTGCTGACGTCACATCTAGTGCCAAGCAGAACTTCCTCTCCTGATAGCAGCACCTCAGCTTCCTGTACTGCTTTCTGTATTGGTTCATGCAGCTTCCAAGGGTGTTTGTGGGGCAGTGAAGAAAGGGACTATTGGCCTGCCTGTGGTACCAGTCCACCACTGGGTGGCCTGCTGACCAGGGCACTCAGCAGAGTTGAGGCGCTAACCAGGACCACTCCTTAGGGTCTTGAGTATACCCCAGTGAGATGCCAGCTGAAAGGGGTCTTGACAGATAGCCAGACAGACATCCCCGGATTCCCAGCAGGCTCTACTCATCGTACCTTGAAACCCCTCTCCAGAACCAGTATAGGGTCAGCCTGGCAGCTGTTGAGGGTGAGATGGGTGTGGTCGGGTATCCATGCTGATCACAGGGTTGCCCTTGCAGAGCGTCCCTCATCCTCCCCACGCCCAGAGGTGGGGGAAGTATACACAGATGCGGTGCTGCTGGTCTGGAAGCCTGTGGAATCCTGTGGCCCCGTGACCTACATTGTGCAGTGCTGTATAGAAGGTACGGGACTCCCGAGGCTTAGGCCTCTATGCAGGTTTAACATGGAGAGGTATGGTGGATGTGTCTGCCCTGTGTCTTTGGGTTATCTTGGGCAAGGGGTTCCCTTGATTATCTACAAATGCTTCTCCCTCTCTCCTGTGTGGTCAGGAGGCAGCTGGACCACCCTGGCCTCTGACATCTCTGACTGCTGCTACCTCACCAGCAAACTGTCCCGGGGTGGCATGTATTCCTTCCGGACAGCATGTGTCAGCAAAGCAGGAATGGGCCCCTACAGCAGCCCTTCAGAACAAATCCTCCTGGGAGGGCCCAACCACCTGGGTGAGCTTTGAGGTAGATGGGGCAGATAAGGGTGGCCATCAGATCAGGCATAGACACCCTCTTGCCCATGGATGATCTACTTGCCTGCATTCAGCATTCAGGGCCTTTACTCCCTGGGGACCCCATCATCTTCCTGTCTCCTTCACTCACCAAAACCCTCCTCGTGTCACCTTGGGAATAGATCATGGTTGGTTTTTACTTCACTGGATGCTGTTTGCATCTGATGGAAATGCGCTGTGGTTGGTTAGAAATGGTGGGTGTAGACTCCAGAATTGCAGATGTCATTGGATTGCTATCCAATTCCATCCTGGAATGTCCCCTACCATTATCACATACACAATCAGTCAAGATGGCAGATTCTGCTATGATCCTCCCTTGTCTGAGTTTCTTCTCCAACACACACACACACACACACACACACACACACACACACACACACACACGGGTCAAAGTGCATGGGAACTTAAAGAAGCGCCACTCTGTAGTGCTTGGAAAGGGGCTGTGAGAGATGATGGGAGGCACAGGGCTGTTCGATGTCCTCCCTGACTAGGTCACCTATCTCACATCCCACAGCCTCTGAGGAGGAGAGCAGCCGGGGGAGGCCAGCCCAGGTTCTCCCCAGCACAAAGACCTTCGCCTTCCAGATGCAGATCCGGAGGTGCAGGGGTGTCTGTGGAGGGTGGGAGGGTGGGACTGTCCCTCAGCTCCTCCTGCGGGCTTTTCCTGTCCCGCACCCCAGTGCAGCTGCCCAGGGTGCCTGTCACTGGCCCCTTACCTTATCCGCTCACTGAGCTTGGTCCCCCACAAACCCCCCATGCTTCCTTTATGCAGGGGCCGCTTCAGTGTGGTACGGCAGTGTAGAGAGAAAGCAAGTGGGCGGGCCCTGGCTGCTAAGATTGTCCCCTACCAGCCTGAGGACAAGACAGCCGTGCTAAGAGAATATGAGGCACTCAAGAGACTGCACCACCCACATCTGGCCCAGCTCCATGCCGCCTACCTCAGTCCCCGGCACCTGGTGCTCATCCTGGAGCTGTGCTCTGGCCCTGAGCTGCTACCCTGTCTGTCAGAGAGGTGAGGGGTAGCATGGATTGCCTGGGTGACAGACAAGCAGGCAAGCAGATGTCTCTGGGAGGGACTGTGAAAACTGTGACCACATCAAGCTAGGACTCAGCAGAACCTGGCTTTTGGCTTGCCATGTGCGCCTAGCTCTGACAGGACGCCCCACCTGCCTGGAGCCTGTCCTGAGCCATCTGTGTCCCTAGGGACTCCTACTCAGAGTCGGATGTGAAGGACTACCTGTGGCAGATGCTGAGCGCCACCCAGTACCTGCATGCCCAACACATCCTGCACCTGGACCTGAGGTCTGAGAACATGATGGTCACTGAGTACAACCTGCTTAAGGTTGTGGACCTGGGCAACGCTCAGATCCTCAGCCAAGAGAAGGTCCCACCCCCTGAGAACTTCAAAGACTACCTGGAGACAATGGGTGCGTACGTGACCCCTGATCTCCCAGCTCCACTGACACCCACCAGCCTCTCACCGCAGCCTCATACTTGTGCCCAACCACCCGTGTCCACCCGTGCTTCTCTGCAGCTCCGGAACTCCTGGAAGGTCAAGGAGCTGTTCCGCAGACAGACATCTGGGCTATTGGTGTAACTGCTTTCATTATGTGAGTCCCTCAGGTGTCTGGGGGAAGCTGTGGGTGGGACAAGTCCCAAACACAGAGTCCTGTACATCCCCACAAATACACTCTACCATCCATTATGGTGAGCTTGATGGCCTTACTTACATCTCCTACCCATCCAAGGGTAATTGAGCATCCCCTGGGCCTCTCACCCACCCAGGCTAAGTGGCGAGTATCCAGTCAGCAGCGAGGGGACTCGCGACCTGCAGAAAGGCTTGCGCAAGGGACTCATTCGGTTGAGTCGCTGCTATGCAGGATTGTCTGGGGGTGCCGTAGCCTTCCTGCAGAGCTCACTGTGTGCTCGACCCTGGTAAGGAGCCCAATCTGTGCCCCGCTCTGCCCCCTCCACCCCCCTCGCTGGCCCCACCCACCGTGCAACCCTTCCCTCTCCGCTCATCTGCCTTATACCCCCAGTCCCACCCATCCTAACCCTCAGACTCCGATGATCCACTTTCTGCTCCAGGGGCCGCCCATGCGCCACCACCTGCTTGCAGTGCGGGTGGTTGACAGAGGAGGGCCCCGCAGGCTCCCGGCCCACGCCTGTGACATTCCCCACTGCGCGTTTGCGCGCCTTCGTGCGCGAGCGCGAGAAACGGAGGGCGCTACTCTACAAGAAGCACAACCTGGCCCAGGTACGCTGAGGTCCTGCTCTGCAGGGCAAGACGTCACTTGCCATATGAGGACACCTGCACCAATAAAAGAGTTTTCTGTTTCATTGAGTCACCTTCCTGGTGTTTGGGAATCTTCATTCATAGTGTTTGGGAACTTAGGGATCACAACTTGTGCCCCAGCCACCCTTCCCATGGGAAGAGGGACAAAGAGATACAGCAAACCCTTCAAGTCCATCTTCAGCGTCTGAAGTAAGATTAAAGTTTAGAGGGCCAAGGATATTTACATCTTAGCAGTGACGACCAAGATGTGGTCTTATCCACCATGGTCACCTGGGCTTCAATTTCATCACGTAAAATGCTCTGATAGGGTGTTACAACTGTTTGAAATCTCTTTCTGAAACAAGTTCCCTCTCTGGATAGTGCCTTTTCCTGGGGTAGGGGTGGAGGGGGGGGGACAATAACTCCCATTCCTTTGGGATCTATTGACAAATTTGAGAGACGGGTGTTTCTTTAGAACACCATTGCTGTCAGACTGGTAACAACTGAAGTAGATCCCCGAGAACCTGTGACTTCCGAAGCCTGAAGCAGTGCAGTGGTGGTCTCATACCCCATGCCTGGTCACGTGTTTCTATTAACCTTTACGCAGAAACCCACTGGCCTCGCCCCTGCCCTAGTGTGCAGCTGTGCCCTGATTGTGTTAGTTCTTGGCCAAGAGACCAATCAAGAGGTACTGCTGGAGTTGGAGAGATAGCTCAGCAGTTAAGAGCACTGGCTGCTCCTCTAGAGGCCCTGAGTTCAATTCCCAGCAGCCACATGGTGGCTCACAACCATCTCTAGTAGGATTTGATGCCCTCTTCTGGCATAAAGGTGTACATGCATGCAGTCATAACATTCACTTATTCACTTATAAACAAATCTGTCAAGTCTCTGTGTGTGTGTGTGTGTGTGTGTGTGTGTGTGTGTGTGTGTGTGTGTGTGTGTGTGTGTGTGTGAGTTACTGCTGGCCATGAATCCCTGGGGTCTTTAACCTGGTCTTGGGATCCCTGGTTCATACCCATGGTGAAAACCAGGTCATCCTTTAACATTGCCTAACCCTATACTGTTTGTGGCCCTGGATCCCACTTTTACATATGGATGTCCTGATGAAATAGTCCCATTGCTCAGGGTCTCACCAGAGTCTGTGGTTAGGAAACCATCACTACCTTTTCTCAGAGCAGGCAAAACCATTCCATTTGGCCAGGATCCAAAAAGCGATTTTACCAGCTCCCTCAAGGCCTGGTCCCAGGGACTTCCCCACAGGGCCTTGACTAAGATCCTAACTTCCAGTAGCACCACCCTGAAAAGCAAGCCTGCAACACTTGGATGTCTGATGGACAGTCCACATCAGGGCTGCACATGCTCAGGCAGGGACATCTTAGAAGCAGGCAAGAAAGGCACTCTCTTAGAATAAACCTCCTTGCAGAATCCAACATAGGGGACAGCCCTTTGAGTTAGAGCTGGGCCCCTTCTACCATGGACAGAAATAGTGATCATGAGCCAGCAATTGCAAATGGAGACTGATGAAAACCTGGAGTGTTCCTGGTCACTGGTTCCTGCTGATCTTCCCACTTGGTCAGAGACTGAGTAGAACCTTGCTAATGCAGATGACCGACTGACTAGAGCACTGTGAATGCAGATGTCCAGGGAGCAAGCCGCACCCATGCTCGCTGAAGGCTGGGTGCCCGTGGTTGCTGCTCGGAGAGACTCTGGGGCACTGGCCAGCACTGTCTCTGCTTTTTGAGAGCACCCAAGCTGGAACCAACTCTTGTTTACTGGACACTGTCCTTAGGTCTTTTTGCACCTATGGTGCCTTGATCTCAAAACTGGAACTGACCCCCACCTCTTCAGTCTCTCACTGCCTCTGCCTCCTCACTGTCCTGTGATTCCACCAGGGCTATGCACAGACGCACTCTGGTTTGTCCTCAGTTGCTACAGTAATACAGCACCAGAGGCTGCTGAATGTGTGAGCGGATCATTTACCCTCTGGTTTGGGAGCTGAAAATGCAAGTCTGTGCCCCCCATTACCCTGCCTTTGGTGAGGGCCCCCTGACCGTGTCACATCCTAGTGGATGGCACTGATAAAAGAAAACATGAGATGTCCTCAGGCCAATTATGAAAACCAGAGGGTGGGAGAACGAGATAAAACAACAGATGCGAAATTTCTGTGGGAACCTTAACTTCAAGACCACCTGCCCCAAGTATATCTGAGACCTCTGAACAGTTAGCCCCAAGCATTCCAGAAACACCAAGCACTTCTCTTCAGAGCTCATTTTCCTGCTGGATTCTTCCTGCCTCTGGGTACATAGCAGGATAGGAACCCTCTGGGAGACAAACGGACAGCATAAAATCAAATAGCCTCTGCCCAGCAAAAGTCAGAGTGAAAAGCGCTTACCGATAGAAAAACATCTTTGCCAGCTAGTCATCTGACAGAGGGTTAATATCCAGAATATATGAAGAACTAAAACAACATATTATCTAATCAATAAATGGGAATATGAATTAAACAAACTGTCAACAGAAGTACAAATAGCTAATAAACACATGATAATAGTTACTATCCTTAGCTATGAGAGTACTTTGAGGAGGTAGGTGTGGTGGTTCTTGCGATTTAATCTCAGCATTCTAGGCGCATAGGCACATATATCTGTGTGTTCAAGGCCCACCTGATCCACATAATGAAGCTTTGCCTCAAACAAAACGGCAGCCACACTGAAGTTCTATTTTGCTTTCATCAGACTGCCAAGGAAACAAATGAGCTGGAGAGATGGCTTAGTGGTGAAGAGTTGTCCTTGCAGAAGACCAGAGTTGTTCTTTCTTCCTCCTCCTTCCTCTTCTTTCTTGTTTTCTGAGACAGGCTTTCTCTGTAGCTTTGGAGCCTGTCCTGGAAACCAGGGTGGTCTTGAACTCACAGAGATCCGCCTGCCTTTGCCTCCTGAGTGCTGGGATTAAAGGCGTGTGCCACCACTGCCTGGCTTTTTCTTTCTCTCTCTCTCTCTCTCTCTCTCTCTCTCTCTCTCTCTCTCTCTCTCTCTCTCTCCCTTTTAATTCTAAGGCTTTAATTTTAGGCTAAACTTTTAATGAGAACCTGCATGATTTTTACTTAGTTCGCTCTGGCTTTTATGAGATCTTTCTCAATCAACATCTGGTTCTTCAGCAACTTCTCATTTCAGAGTTCACCCCCCTGCTGGGATAGGGCTCAGCCACCACATTGATCTCTGTCCTTCAGTCTCACTCATGTGACTGGTGTGGGGTCTACTCCACCATGGGAGTTCAGTGCACTCCCTGGATAGGGCTCCTCCTATTTAGCCAGTAGCATAGCGCTAGACTTATAGAACCCAGTGTCTGGCTTTGGTCATGGACTTCATCCTTCCTCAGAACCTGTGTCCAGCTCTTCTCCAAAGCCATGGCTAGGACTATGAGCACATGTTGGTCTCTACCACATGGCTGCCCATCTGTTTGCCAGGGCCTCCTTGCCCCAGACATTACAAATGCAGCACGTTGTCTATACGTCACAGACAGGTGACACAGGTGTTGCATTCACCTGCTAGACTTCCCCTGCCTGGAACAAATACGTGGAAGTGTCACGGGGCATCCTCCTCAAAACAGAGCTGGTTACAGGACAGGAGCAAGTCAATGATGAGCTATATGAGAAAGTGCCCACTAACCCCAGGGGACTAAGTCCTTTGGTGCCAAACACACTCACCACACGTGTGGAATAAAGAACACTCGGAACCTCCAGCCTGTGTAAGGAAGAGCTGTCTGCCTTAGGTCTGGTGACCTGAGAGCCACCTGGGAACCTGTGTTTCCTAGTGACTACCTCCTCAACCCATGTCTGCCTGGCATGTCAGGTTTTTTTTTGTTTGTATGTATGCAAGAGAGGGTTTTATGCAGCATGTGAGTGCAAATGCCCTCAGAAGGCAGATATGTAATTCCTTGGAGTGGGAGTTACAAGCAGTTATAAGCTGCTCAACTTGGGAGCTGGGACCCAAGTGAGTTCAGACTCTGCTAAAGCAGTATGGTACTTTTAACTGCTGAGTCACCTTACCAGTGCACGGCCCCAGTCAATTACCCACAGGATAAGCAGAGGACACTGTTCCAGATAACCGTTTATTTAAATGTTTCCCTTTCAATAAATAAAGATAAAACTCCCACATGTGTCATACAAAAGCAGTCACTGCTGGCTCCTGTGCACTTGGGACTGTATGACCGACTCACTGCAAGGCAGACAGCCACAGGCCGTGTACCAAAGCTTGCCAGACACCAGGGAAGCCCCTCTGAGGGCAAAACCAGACAAGTCTCGAACAGGAGGGCATGTTCAAGTGTCATGTCTGAGTTCTACTTCTGGGCCCCTTCTGTGCTGAATACAAATGTAGAGGACTCATTTAGGATTCAGCCCCCACCAGACTATTCCTTCACCTGGGGCCAGGCCGCTGTCCTCTCATCTTTCACTGCAGCTACCCCTAGCGTGGTAAGGACTCTGAGGAGCCCTCCCATCTACTGGACCAAATCCTGAGATGCTGGTGAGCTTGAAGCTGGCTCCTACCTAACCTTACCTAGTTTCATTTCAGGGATGGCGTGGTGTGCTTGTTGGCACAGCAGTGTGGACAGGTCCGGATTACTTCTGGAAAAGCCTATCACACACATCACTGGAACCTCGAGTCAGAGGTGCTGGTGACACATGGGACTTAGTGCTTTGGTGAAGGCTTTTGGCACTAAGTGACATCAGTGGTGGAGAGGATCTCCACCACGAGGACAGAGCCCAGTCCAGTGTCCTCCTCCTACTCTTAATGTCGCTGAGACTGAGAGCTTGTGTTCCCATGTGTGGTCAAAAAGGCACTGTGTGTTTCTCCTAATGCTCACAGGACACTGTCTGGCTCCTGGGCCTCTGTATGGTCAGGACAAGGGACCAGGAGAGGTGAAGGGGCTCCTCTAGAGGGTGTGGGTCACTGGGGACCAGTGGTGTCCCCAGGCACACCTATCAGCCTGCAGATGGTCATAGGGGTCGGGCTACTAGACAAAGGTGAGAAGAGGGGCCGGAGTGTACCCGAGAAGGGGGTCTCAGGGA